CCCCAAAACCCCAAAACCCCAAAACCCCAAAACCCCAAAACCCCAAACAGCGGCTGTCACACTGAATCACAAATTTACTCAGTAAGTTCACCTTGCTCATATTTCAAATTCGAGTGAGTTTTGGCCGGGATGTTGTACAGGAAATGGGGCTGAACGAACTTTGTGTGCTGCAGGTAGTCGACTAGTTTGAAGGAATTTATGAAGTCAGTTTTGGTGTACCAGGAGAGATAGCCGGACTTTTCGATGGAAAGCTTGTAGTCTTGGTAGAGGTTGAGGAGTTTGTTCCGTTGGATGATGAGGGTTTGGGCTCTAGAGGTGAGGGAATGGGTACATTTTGCGGGTCTGTTTTATGTAGGTGTTGAAGAATTTACTGCTGTTGTTGATCATTTCGAGAACTTTATCGCTTAATTGGATTTGGATGTTGAGGTCTTTGGGGGTTTTGGGTTCTTGAGCTTTATCGAAATATTTCTTTTGCCTCTTTTTATTCTTCTGCATTTTGATTAATTTATTTATTGGGAACTCCTTTATAGCGGAATGATAGCATTTTGATTGTAAGCCAAGTAAATTATCGATAATATCTATGCATTAGTCTTTTTAGTACCTTTAAATAATTTTTTGATAAACTGGACTCTTTCATCACTATATATTAATAACTATTCTAACCTCCAATCATACACAGGCTCATGTGCTTGTTCAATAGTAGAAAATCTAACCTCATCAGGATTGTTTTGGAGCTTCTTTGCTATGGTATTGTAGAGATAATCTTCATGTTCTTGAAGAGTAGTAGTGGAATTAGAATTAGATTTACTCCCTCATTTTGCTTCAGAATTTATATCAGGCTCTACTTTTCTTAAGTTATAAGCTTTGAGTTTTTGAAGTTTTATTTTAAGCTCAGAATTTTCTTCCCTTAAAGTTTCAACTTCTTTTCTTAAAGATTCCACCTCCTTCACCTTATCTTCAAGAAACTTCTTCTTTCTTTCTCTAAAAGCTTTAGATCTTTCTTTATTCGATGACGCTCTAATATATTTCGTAACACCATCTCCCTCCATACATTTCTCTTTAAAGTCCATGTTCAAAGGCTATATTATAATTACAACTAAAATTTCTGGAGCAATTTTTGAAGAGATTTTTGGGGTTTTGGGGTTTTGGGGTTTTGGGGTTTTGGGGTTTTGGGG